AAATAAATACTTAATTTGGTTCTCATTTTAATTTTCTTGAAATCATATTTCCTTCAATTAAATAGTAAAAGATGATATTTATAGAGTAAATAATAATATTTTTAACAATTCCAATACAGTGCAACCCATAATTGCCCCAAAACCCGGTGTCACAAGTGCATGAACATCAACTAGGAATATAAAATAATATACAGCGTCCGTACGGAATACAAATTGAACAAAAAAAATATAAATACTCTGAGGAAGACTTTGTTGGCTGCGGATCGTACTATGGAATGCAGATCACCTAAGTCTCTGCATGCCTACAAGCCTCTGCTCCCACGAGGCCACTAGACATATATGTACCTGCACAAAAGAATGTGCAGCAAAGGTAGTATGAGTACGTAAATCAACGCGTATCCAGTAAGTATACTGCCTAACCTCGAAGAAGTAGTGACGAAGGGTCGACTTCGACACTTACTATGGGCAATAAATAAAATATCAATGATATAACTAAGCATGGATTACGTAGAACGGCTGTAAGCTCAATATTATGAAATAAGTGAATAATTCTTTTGTTAATAAGAAATTTCCAAATTTATTTTTTGTCGTTTATCAATTTGTATCTCAGGACAATGAAGCAATATCAATTATCATAAATTTCAAAGCAACCGATTCAATCATGCGCAAATCATGCCGAGGTCGTACGGCCTGATCCAACATAATATTTAAACTGTGCACTGCCGAGGGTCGAACGACACGAACCATAGATGCATCTATCTCCTACCGAGGCGTTCGGCCCGCTCCACAAAAGAGAAAATACATTAAACAACCAATTCAAGATTTATTAAGGGGCAAATATTCCAAAATTTTAAATTCTCATTAAACGGTCAAGTAAATGAAGTTTAACCTTTTTACAATTCCTTTATCGAGTTTCTAAATGTCTTAAACAATTAAATTAACAAGTAGGGCGCAAACATCGCAAGTACAACATGATATGGGTCCTAGACTACCCAGACATAAGCATAATAGTAGCTACACATGGACTCTCATCACCTCGTGCGTACGTAACCCCCACAAATAGAAACACATAATGATTTGATTCACCTACGGGGTTAATTTTCTCTTACAAGGTTAGAAAAGAGACTTATCTCACTCCGACGTTCCAAAATTGGCTCCAACATCGCCCTAACACCTCAAACCGGTGACCGCCGATCCAAAACTAGTCAAATAAGATGCAACCCAATCAAAATATACTCTAATACTCATAATTAAGCAATTTATAACAATTTCCAACTCCGCTCGAAAATCGATAAGGCAACCCTCAGGCCCACGGGCCCTGATTTCGAAAATTTTCGAAGACAAATACTACCCATAGCACTACGAACTCAAATATATAATTTATTCTCAATTTAATGCCCAAATTCGTGATCAAAATCCAAGAATACCAATTTCTAGGTTTTTCTTCAAAATCCAAAATTTCTACAAATTGTCATGCTTGAATCCATGTATAAATCTTGTATTTAACTCACAATACACGGGAATCACTTACCTTGACATAGATGATGAAACCCCTCCTTGAAGCTCTCCAAAATCGCCCCAACCAAGTGAAAAATGAGGGGAAAATGAGCCAAGTCCCGTTCTTAAATCAATCTGCCCAGCCCGACCTTCGCACATGCAGTCAAATAGCCGCTTTTATGGCTCCGCACCTGCAAACATTCCATCGCAGGTTCGGCTCCAGCTCGGCCCAACCAATCCCCGCATCTGCACCCCATGTAGCGCATGTGCACGTCCGCTTCTGCGGTCACCAAGCACTTCTGCGCTCGCGCACCTGCGCGTTTATGCCTGCTTCTGCGGCCCAGGCCTTTTTGGCCAGCCTCCGCTTCTGCGACCCTCATGGCCTCTTTTGTGGCTCCGCACCTGCGGCCCTAACCTCGCAGGTGCGGTTACACCAGAATACAACAACCTCAACATTTCTTCCAAGTCCAAACTCGATCCGTTAACCATCCGAAATCTACCCGAAACCCTTGGGACCTCAACCAAATATACCAACACGTCCCAAAACACATTACGAACTTAGTCAAGCCTTTAAATCACATCAACCAATGCTAAAAATACGAATCACCCTCCAATTCAAACTTAATAAACTTTGAAACTTCAAACTTCTACAATTGATGCCGAAACCTATCAAATCACGCCCGATTGACCTCAAATTTTGCACACACGTCACATTTGATATTACGGACCTACTCCAACTTCCGGAATCAGAATCTGACCACGATATCGAGAAGTCCACTCCCAGTCAAACTTCTCAAAAACCTTCAAATTTTTAACTTTCACCAAATGACCCCAAAATGACCTACAGACCTCCAAATCCACATCCGGGCGCACTCCCAATACCAAAATCACCTTACGGAGCTATTCCTAAACTCGAAATCCCAAACGGACATCGATAACATTGTAATGCACTTCAACCCAAATTTATGAAATTCTTCCAAAAATGCCAGCTTTCCACAATAGGCGCCGAAACGCTCCTGAGTCATCCAAAACTCGATCCGAACATACGCCCGAGTCCAAAATCATCATACGAACCTGTTAGAACCTTCAAATCCCGATTCCGAGATCGTTTAATCAAAAATCAAACCTTAGTCAATTCCTCCAACTTAAAGCTTCTGAAATTAGAAATTTCTTTCCAAATTAACTCCGAATTTTCCCGAAACTCAATTTCGACCACACGTACAAGTCATAATACCTGAAGTGAAGCTTCTCATGGCCTCAAACCGCCGAACGATGCGCTAGAGTCCAAAGCGACCGGTCGAATCGTTAGAGAAAATTTCTCGAAACTTAGGGAGTTATGGGATGAATATGAAGCTTTAGCTCCTTCTCCTTCATGTGGATGTCCTGAATCCAAGTAGCATGCAGAACACTATCAACTACAGAAATTGTATCAGTTTCTGACTGGTTGAAATGACTCCTTTGATAATGCTAAAGATCAAATTCTTATGATTCGACCACTTCCAAATGTCAATCAAGCCTATGCTATGGTAGTTAATGTTGAAAGTCCAAGGAAAAACAATGCAGCTCTGAGTGCTGGTATTGGTAATTCTACAGTGCTGATGAGTAAGGCTAACTTTGTGAATGGAAATAGTAGTTTTAAACCTAGAAACAACCTTGGGAGGTCTACACTACAATGTGACTACTGTCACCTGAAAGGTCATACCAAGGACACTTGCTATAAGCTTCATGGATATCCTGCTGATTTCAAGGCCAAGAGAAGAGGTTATTCATGTCCTCATGTGAACAATGCATCCACTGCCCCAGGATTTCAAACTCCCGACCCTTCTCAACTTATTCCTCAGTTCTCCTCCCCTACTCCAGTTTTTACTCAAGAACAATATAATCAGATCCTGCAAATGCTGAGCAAAGGAAAGAAGGTAGAATCTGTGGCAAATGCAGCAACTATGAACAACACAGGTACTATAACAACCTTCATGTCTCATCTAGTTAATGATAACTGGATAGTAGACACAAAAGCCTCCAATCATATGGTACATAATTCCAAGCTACTAAGTGAAATCAAGGATCTGACTAATATAGATAGTAATAAAGTTCATCTCCCTAATGGTGAGCAGATTGCTATCAGTCATACTGGTGTTTCCACAATCTTCAAAACTAAATTATTACAGAATGTCTTATACACTCCAGACTTCAAATACAACTTGATGTCAGTCTCAAACCTTACAAAGGAGTTGAGATGCCTTGTTGCATTGTTTCCTGATTTTTGTCTTTTTCAGGACCTCTTGAGTGGGAAGGTAATGTGGATTGGTATAGAAGAGTGTGGGCTCTACATCCTGAAGCCAAATGTCTCTAAGGACTCAGTGCAGCTGCAAGATGCAAAGCAAAGTACCAGTCTAGTATCTTTTGTAAATACTGTCTCTAGTTCTAGTAACAATAAGGCAGTTCATACTAGGTCTACTAAGAATTGTATTGTGTCTTTGTGGAACAAGAGACTAGGGCATGCACCTCTGAAAGTTCTACAAAAGATTAGTAGTTTACTTCATGTTCCTATGCAAGATCACCATTGTACATTGTGTCCTATTGCTAAGCAATCTAGACTGCCATTTCCTCACAATACTTCTTGTTCTGCTCATCCTTTTGAACTTGTGCATGCTGATGTCTGGGGACCATATAGGGTCCCAACTCATGATGGTAAGAGATATTTTATGACATTGGCGGATGATTTCTCCAAGTACACCTGAATCTTCTTAATGAACACTAAAGCAGAATCTAGTGTTGTGTTAACACTACAAATAAAGCCTTTAGCGACGGACTAATTCCATAGCTAAATAGTATATTTCCGTTGCTAAATAGTATATTTCCGTTGCTAAACAGGTTTAGCAACGGATTAGCGACGAATTTGTGTCCATCGCTAAAATGCTCGTAGCTAACCCCTTAGTAACGAAAAATTTGAATCCGTTGGTAAGTTAGCAACGAATTAGCTACGGTTTGTATCTGTAGCAACTGTTAGTGACAACACATATCCGTCACAATTCTCATCAATTCTGTCGTCATATCTACAAGTCATTTCGTTGTCAGATTTAATTGGCGACGAATATTTTCCGCCGTTAATCCGTCGCTGATATTATTGAGACATTTCTGCCTTTCTTTTGGCGACGCAATTCTTTTGTCGCAAATCTGTCGCAGCATGTTATTCTATATTAGTTATATCTACAAAGAAAATTCGTCACAAATTATATTTTTTATTTTTTATATAATAAAATAGATATTGTTCAAGTATATAGAATATACTTAATAAAAACTAAAATTCATAAAAATTAATATTCTACAAGATCCAAAATAGATACCTAAATGCAAATGTATAATTATGTTTAAAACATCTACATTACTAAAATAAAGTTCAAACAGAGACTAGAGAGTGAAGGTAATCATCAGAAAGTGATGCATAAACCTCGTTAATACCAAAACATCTACAATACCAAAGTTCAAATAAAAAAAGTTAACTACTGAGAGACTGGGGAGTGAAGGTCATCATCAGAAAACGATACATGAACCTCGTTAATATTAGTAGTAGGAGGAGGAATTGGAGGTGACACAACTGATGGGTGATGGGTAAGATTATCTGGCATATGTGAGGGTGAAGAAATCAATCCTCTTACTCGATCAGCCAACACATGAAGCATGTGATCAGTCAGTACATGAACCATATGATCAGTCAATGCAGGAATCAATCGCATCACTAACTCATCCAAATTCGCCATCGATGATAACTGAGCATTCAGAGGTGGTGTTGATAATGAAGCATCAGATCCAGAAGAGGCACGAAGATTAGGCCCATAGAAATATTTTGCTTGATATCCAAGACCATATATTCTTCTCTTCTTTTTCCCTCCCGCGGCTTGATAAAATGCTAGAGATTGATCAATATCAGATTGAGTTTGTGTTTGTTGTTGTAATATTTGTTGATAATTTTCCTGGTAATAGCATAATAGTTAGTGAAATTCATTAATGATAGCTGTTAAGTTCTTCATTCAATCAAAAGTTCGCTAAAATCATTTTTAGGACAGAAACAGGTGCAAAACAAGTAGTTTAAGTGGGACGTGAATGTCATATATAAAGTTAATAAAATTATTGGATTTGGACTTACAAGTACAATTCGTGATCGCTCACTAACAAAAGATTTTTCATCATGACCATGTGTATGGACGTGAAAATATAGCTCACTTGGTGTTGGATCTCGACCCTTTTCAATAGACTATACAAAAAATAAATAGCTTTATTTTCTTTGATAAGGTAAAACAGTTTATTAATGGAGGTACCAAGAAGGTATACAATAGTACATGAACAAGAAGAATAGCCCCTACAAAAAAAATCAGATTATATACTTACCAACATATCCAAGAAATCCAAATACTCAAAAGAATAACTCAAAAGTTGCAAGGAGATGCTAGGGATTTTTTAAATGCAAAAAGAACTGGACAATTGTTGATAGAAGGAGCTGACCACATAGAGCATTTGCTGTCACAAAGTGGTACTAATCAGCAGTGTTACTCTGCAACAGGCAGCTAGTGCATATGTAAATTGCGATGCATGAAATCCTAATGCTCAGGTGGAGACAAGAACTAATGCATTGGTTATTCCTACTGGCCAAAGTTTTATGAAAATATCAGAAAAAGATAACAGTAGTGGTAAGCAGCAAGTGTTGCACATACAACCTACTGAAGTTCAAAAACAGTCTGCTATGAGGAACAATGGTGTGGCTAATTCTAGGCAAAATCCTAAAGGGGCTATGACTGCAGCTGCTGCTGCTCTGTTAACTGGTGAAAATACGGCAGCATCACATGATAAGGGTCCGGTTTTTTATATAGAAGGGGCTATGACTGCAACTGCTGCTGCTCTGTTATTCTTACTCTATTGTACTTACAGTTACAACTTTGCATCTCATCACAAATAAATAAACAAGTCACAAGAACAATACCAAGCTGAAACATTGCTCAAACCACAAGAACAACAAGGGATCAACCTATTAAGAAAGCTGAAATATGTGTATTGAATTCTAATGATTATCCCTTACGAACAATATACTTACAAGTCTCTTGAGATGTCCCCCAATGGTGACAAAGCCGCCCGTGTGAGTCCCAATGGCGACAGCGGTCCCACCGCCGCAACAAATTTTTGCATTTATTTCTGATTTTTAATACACTTAGGATCTTTTCATAGTTTCATCCAATTGTCCCACACATTTTCTGGAACAAAATCCGGTTGAACTAAATCCCTTTCTTTTTTTATTTTGCAAATAAAATCACAGTACCTTCTTGCTGCCTTACTTACCCATAGGCGCTTCATTCTCAGTGTGATTGCAACGAACCTATTTAAGAAAAATCGTAAGACTTAGTTAAATTTTACAAGTTAATTTAAGTAAATTATTTTATAAAAGAAAATGATTGTTGGAGTCTTACATATCCCTTGAACTATTCAGCGAAATATGTTTGAAGGCTTTCATCTATTTGATCTTGAGATCGATTCAGGAGTTCTTCTGGCAAACGTTCCACATACATACTTCATTGCAATAAAATAAGTTAAAATATGAATTCATGATATATGGATACGTTTATCATATTAAGAAAGTATAACTTTCAAATATTACATCACAAATGGCTCAACCTCTTTACAATATAGTAGAATGTAAGTTTGGGCAGCCTTGAATTCGTCAAGAGATAAGTTTTTCTTTTTTGCTTCTCCCCATAGTCGACCTGAATGGGTGGATATTGATAAATTTCCTTCAAGATCTTTCCCAACACCACCATCATCATTACATGCCGCATTATGATTACGTGTCATAACATAAGGTTCAAAAATAATGAGAAAACAATTATGTTGACTCTGTCATCAAGCAAGCTTCGCAAATGGAACCTTCGACACTAGCTTTATTCCCAATAATTTTTAAGAGTTCCAAGGTACCTAAATGGATAAATGGATGGACCACTAAATTAGAAAACCCATGTGTAGCACAATTTTATAATTAGTACATAAATATTTTATATTTACCTCTCAAAAGGATACATCCATTGGTATTGTACAAATCCAGCAATCCTTGCTTCATATGGAAGGTGCACAGGTAAATATTCCATTGAGTTAAAGAACCCAGGGAGAAATATACGTTCTAACGTACACAAGATTTGTGGGATGTCTGCCTCTAATCTCTCCATTTCAGCAACTCGTAGAGTGGTCGAAGAAAGATCTTTAAAAAATAAATTTAATTTTGTAAGTGCTTGCCACACATTATTAGGAAGCAACTCACGAAAGGCAATAGGCATTAATCATTGCATGAACACATGGCAATCATGAATTTTCATTCCAAATACCCTATACTTGGTCGTGTCTAGACATCGACTCAAATTCAAAACAAACCCATCCGGAAACTTCAAACCTTTCAACCAATCAAACAAGATATCTGTTGCTGCCTTGTCTATTGTATATGCAGCTTTGGGATAGCTTCCACTTGCATCCTTTGCCAACTGAGATCGATCACAGTAGTTTACCATATCTAGACGTGCTTTTGGATTGTCTTTGGTTTTGTCTTTAACATTAAAAATTGTGTTAAAAACATTATCAAAGACATTCTTTTCAATATGCATGATGTCAAGATTATGTCGAATCATGTTGGAATTCTATTAAGGAAAATCCCAAAAGATACTTTTTTTTCCATCCACAAGTTTTACATATTCTCCGATTAACTTCTTCTACATCCAGCTCTGTCACTTTCCTTAGTCCCAACTCACTAATTTTGTTTAAAATTTCCTCTCTAGTTATAAAGGTTGGTGGTAGCCTTTTGACAGTCTGACCTTTAAGAAAGTTTTTACGATCTCTCCTAAATGGATGATTTTGGTCAAGAAACATTCTATGACTGTCAAACCAAGATATTTTTCCACCATGATGTAATATAAAAGATTGTGCTTCCTCCATATAGTAAGGACATGCTAACTTCTTCGCGGTACTCCATCCTGATAACATAGAATATGCTAGAAAGTCACTGATTGTCCACATCAAAGTTGCCCTTAATTGAAAATTTAGCTTTTTTGAGATGTCAAATGCTTCTACACCCTCATCCCACAACAAGGTTAGTTCTTTTATTAGAGGTGGTAGATAAACATCAATATTTTGCTTAGGATTGGTTGGTCCTGCAACAATGACAGTTATAAACATATAAGCCTCCTTCATACACATCCGTGGAGGTAAATTGTATGGAGTGACAATCACTGGCCACGAAGAATATTTCCTCCCAGATTGACCAAATGGTTGGAAACCATCAGTACATAATCCCAACCTTACATTCCTTGGTTCAGCTGCAAAAAAGGAATAAGTTTCATTAAAGTGCTTCCAAGCCTTAAAGTCTGATGGATGACGCTTTAGCCCCTCCTCTTCTACATGCTCATGATGCCATCTCATGTCAGCAGTTGTAGCATGGGATGCATATAATCTCCGCAATCTAGGAATCAAAGGAAAGTAATATATTTTCTTGTAAGGGACCAATTTCCTCTTACGAGAGCCGACACGACTCTTATATCTCTGGTAGCCACAAAATTTACAAGATGTGAGGTCCTCGTCCTCACCCCAATATAACATACATCCTGAATTACAACAATCAATCTTTTCAACGGGCAAACCCAAGCTACGCACTAGCTTCTTAGTCTGATAATAGTTATCAAGCACTATATTATCTTTAGGTAAAGCTCTTTAAATAGTTGCATCATTTGGTCATAACCCCTATGTGACAATGAATTCTCCATTTTAATGTTTAACATCCTAGAAACTACTGCAAGTTGAAAGAGAGAAGAACCAGGATACAATTCTGCATTGGCAGCCTGTAGCAAATCATAGAACTTCTGAGATTTAAGATTAGGCTCCTCCTCCATTGAAGGTTCATAAGGATGAGATGACTCAGGTTCAACATTACTATCAAATTGCGAACTCGAACCCTGGCTAATATTGGGCCCAACTATGTCAAGAATCATTCTTCGGTATGGATTCTCATATCCAAATTCTGGTTGAGCACCACCATTCAAATTACTACCTGAAGACAACTCATTAGTCAGGCATCTTTCTCCTTGATATATCCAAACAAAATAATTCTCAATAAATTCAAACTGCAAAAGGTGTAATCTAACGGTTTCAACATCCATGTATTTAATGTTGTAACATTTTTTTACAAGGACATCTTACATTGTCGCCACTCATGCGATTTCATTGAGAACATGCAAACTGGAGAAATTTATCCACACCCGATATGAAACAAGAATTAATACCTCCTCGTCCATCCAACCTCTCATACATCCAACCACACTCTACATTCTCCATTTTCCTATTTAATGTTGAAATATAAAAGACAAGCAAATGTTATTTTTTGGTAAGTAATAACACAAGAATAAAGTAAAGGGAAGATATACTTAACCTTACCAAACACCTAGTATTGCCTTTTTATGCACGAAGGAAAGAAACCAAATACATGGCAGCAAAAAAACTCAAGTAGTTACTTTTATTTTATAAGCCATAAATTGTTAAAGAAAAAGAACATCGCAGATACATCATGAAGCTCATGTAAGATTAAATATATCACAAACACATCAGAAAGCTAATGTACATCAGAATATCACAAATATATCCCTAGCAGTCACTATATATAAACAATCTCAAATACATCAGAACATCACAAATATATCAGAAAGCTAATGTAAGCTATGTGAATATTTTTAGACAATTGAAAATTATCTCGCACCCCTAGTAGTCACTATATGTAAGATTAACCATTTGTGAAAAAGCTAAAATTCTAAATAACATTCACATTTCATTTTAAGAAAGCGCTAATAAGAACAAGAAAAAGAAGGGAGAGAGAGAGAGAGCGAGAGAGATAGCGACAGTAAAATATATGTCAAACAAAATAAATTAAGATATATTTATGAGTTAATAGAAAGATACCAATACCTTAACTAATCCATCAGAAATCTTTGAGATTGTTTCGTTCCTTTTCCTGAAATGAAGCTGAGCAAATATAAATTTAGTCAGACACATGCAAAAAGACTACCATATAGATTTATTTTGCAATATGTAGAACCATAAAGGTACTAATAAATTTATTACAGAGATTATATTCATGTTTCTAGCTAGTTTCAGAAGACAAAATCATGTATTGATACAAAAAGCTACACAACTCATATGTCAAGAAAATAGGAAAAAAATGGCAGTCACGATCATGAAAAGGCTACGTATGAAGGCAAATATGTTGAGAAATATCAAGGTGATTTAAGGACTTTATTGGATAAAAAGAAGAAGGCTGTTGTGGTGTCGTTTACTGGTAATGGTGGTGATCGTGTGACTGAGAAGGTGAATATAGGAGGAACGGGCTGGCAATCATCAAAACTCAATATCACAATTGTTCCACCTGCTGAAGTTCGAGTGGAGCATGGGGTTTCTCAGAATGCACCAGCTGATCGGGTTGCTGTTTCAGGTGTTAAGGAAGCTGCTAAAAATGTGCCTAATGCAGCTGTAGTTCATATTGAAACTGGACAAATTATTGAAAAGAAAACAACTGCTGAAAATACTGTGCAGAGTAATACGGATCAACGAAAAACTTCTGATAAATCTAAAGCTCCTAGGGATATTCCTGCAGCTACTTCTTTGGCAAGGATTTACCAGGCTGTGGGCTCAGCTTTACAAAATCATACAAAGTTATTTATGATGGGTGATCAAGCTACTACATCTGCACGTGAAGTAATTGAAAAACCAGCAGTGTTTACACCTACTGCTATGCACAATGAAGGCCGAGGTCTTGTAAGAAAGGAGGAAAAAGCTGAACTTGGTTTTGATGCGTCAAGCAAAACTGGTACAACTCACATTGAGATAGCAGCTTCACAAAAATCAGATGTTAAGGCTTTGCAAAATTCAAATTGTAGTGACGGGGCAGAGGTGGGTCGATCACCAACTAAGAGTATGCACTTGGTGTGGCTCATGACCAAGCTGGAAATTTGATGCAACATTTTGAAGTTGCAACTGATGAATGTGATGAGCGGTGAATGCTACTAATGCTGCTTGGGCTGTATATCAATCAATTACACTTAAAAAGTGGATGTTGAAGCTGAGCAATCAGGAAACCATGGGATATAGAAGCAAATATGCAGGTTGGAAATCTGTTGCAACAAGAAAAGGAAATAAACTGGACACGAAAGTGTTCAAGTGGCTGCACATTCCAGTAGCATTTTGGCTAGGAATATTGTGCATTTACAACTAGCTTGAATGCCTATAAATTGAGCAACAATGAGGAGAAAAATATGGAGGAAGGATGGACTCCGGTAGCTTGCAAAAAGATTGTTGCAAGTCAAAAAACAGCTGGTCTAGATAAGGTGCAGCATGGTGATCAAACAGAAGGTGCAAAGGAGTTGTGTACTCTAAACTCTTATGAGGTTTTGCTGCATAATGAGCAGTGGAGGTTATGAATGACAAGATTGATGCTAAGAAGTTGGAACTGGTAGGTGGCAATACAGTCTCAACATCTGGACAAACCAGCTATACAGGCAGCATAAAAGAGCGGCAAAACTCCAAGACTACTAGTGCTAGAGTGAAGGAACATGTTACTGGGAAGATGCTGGAACTGGTTGATGTCAAAGCAGTCTTAAAAGCAGGACAAAACAACGTGAAAGTTCAGCAACAAAGTAGAGTTTTCTAGCACTTCACCTTGAAGAAATTGAAAACCACGCAGATCTCTAGACACCTAAATTAGATTTTAATCACCAAATATCACCAAAATTGGTATTAATCAAGAGTTCAACACAAAAGAAACTCCCAAATCAGATTTTAGCAATAATAAGTAGTAATAACAATACATATTTATGCACAAATGAGATATACCCAGAATATGTCAACCCCTACTTCAAATTTAACTTCACATACTAAAAAGAAGAAGGGGGAAGAGACGAAAGCTTGATTTATTTTACATCTACCAAAGCCCTAAAATTTTGACTATAGAAAAATTGCTAATAAACAGAGAAAGAAGCAGAGACATACCAGTATTTTAGAAAAGAGATGATCTAGTAGTGCATCTGGGAAGATTAATGAAAGATTAGAGGAGAAGAAGAAGAAGCAAAGGGGCTCGTTTCTTACTGTATTTTTCTGTGAGAAAGACCTTATTTTTTTGTCTTACAAAGGTAAAGATAGCAGCAACACTTATTTTCCCTAAATACCTAGCGACAAAATATTTTCGTAGAAACAAGGGTAAATGTACCCTCATTAATGAAAAAGATTAGCGACATACATGTTTCGTCGCTAAATCCGTTGCTAATATGTAATAAATTTTGTCATCAAATTTTCCTTGCTTATTTTGTTGCTAAAATGAGGGCGCCAATTTTTAACGCCAATTTTTAGCGACAGAGTTTTTATTTTGTTGCTACTTTGTCGCTAAATTAGTTACTAAGTCTTCTACTTACTTTTTCTACGACAGAATTCTATTTCCGTAGTTAATCTACCGCTACTTAGCGACGAAAAAATATTTGTCGCAAAAATCCGTCGCTAAATCGAGTTTTTTTGTAGTGTAAAAATGTTTTTAACACTAGTTCAAACTCAATTTGATTACAAGGTTAAGTGTCTCAGGTCTGACAATGGTACCGAGTTCTTCAATGAGCAGGTCAACAGTTTCTTAGTGCAACATGAACTTATTCATCAGATTTCCTGTGTATATACACCTCAACAGAATGGTAAGGTTGAAAGAAAACACAAGTCCATCCTTAATATGGCAAGAGCCTTGAGGTTTCAAGCCTTTGTTCCACTACAGTTCTGGGGTGGGTATGTTTATACAATAGTCTATCTTCTGAATAGACTGCCTACAGTCTTGTTGAAGGGAGCCTCTCCCTTTGAGAAGCTCTATAACAAGGTTCCTTCTCTTCAGCACTTGAGGATCTTTGGTAGCCTGTGCTATGCCACCTTAGCTAGAAAAGCAGACAAATTCATTCCCGGGGCCATTCCTGCTGTACATTTAGGCTACTCCTCTGTGCAAAAATGATACATCTTGTATGATCTTCACTCTAAACAGTTCTTTGTAAGCAGGGACACTGTCTTCAAATAAGATGTCTTTCTGTAATGACCCAACCGGTCGTTTTAAGCATTTGCACTTCGCTCGGTAGTTTACGGGCATGAGTAGCTCCGTATGATGTATTATAACTTATGTGAATCGTCGGTTTTGATTTTTTAGGTTATTCGGAATCGAATTGGAAGAATGAATTTTATTGTTGAAACTTTAAAGTGGGAGAGTTGACCAAGATTGACTTTTTTATAAATTTGAACCCAGAACGGAGTTTTGATGGTTTCGGTATGTCCGTTGGGTGATTTTGGACTTAGGAGCGCGTCTGGATTATGAATTGGAGGTCCGTAGTGGAATTTGGCTTGAAATGACAAAAATTAGATTTTTGGAAAGTTTGACCGGGAGTGGACTTTTTGATATCGAATTTAGATTTTGATTCTGGGAATTAGAATAGCTTCGTTATGTCATTTGGGACTTGTGTGCAAAGTTTGACGTCAATCAGACGTGATTTGAATGGTTTCGGCATCGGTTGTGGAAGTTTGAAGTTCAAAGTTCATAGATTTTGATTTGAGGTGTGATTCATCGTTTTGAGGTTTTAATGTGTGTTTTGAGGCCTCGAGCAGGTCCGTGTTATGTTATTGGACTTGTTGTTATATTCGGATGGGGTCCCGAGTGGCTCGGATGAGTTTCGGACGAGGTTCGGATCACTTTCGTTGCATAGTGCATTGCTGAAGGCTGTTGATTCTGGTGTGATCGCACCTGCAGCTGGTTTTGTGAAGGTGCGATGGTCGCAGAAGCGACGGAGGAGTCGCAGGAGCGTGAAGGGGAGATGGGCGTGAGGATCATAGGTGCGGGTGCTTGGACGCACCTGCGCAACCGCAGATGCGGTTCAAGTACACAGAAGCGCGATCGCAGAAGCGACTTTAAGACCGCAGGTGCGAGGGATTTGCTGGATCAGTTGTTTTCGCAGAAGCGAAGTTTTACCGCAAAAGCGGTGGTCGCAGATGCGACAAATTGTCCGCAAATGCGGAATCGCTGGGCAGAAGCTATATTATCGAGAGTTTTTGTTCTTTCTTCATTTTGGGAGCTATGGAGCTCGGATTGAGGCGATTCTTGAAGCAACTTTCAACATATGAATTGGGGTAAGTGTTCTCTACTCGGTTTTAGTTATATTTCCTTAATCCATCTTTGTTTTTGGTAATTGAATCATGAATTTTAAAGAGGAAATTGGGGGTTTTGGCCTAAAGTTTCATAATGTGAATATTTGAGTTTTGAATATTGAATTGAAGTCGGATTTGAGTGAAACTAGTATGGTTGGACTCGTAATTGAATGGGTTGTTAGATTTTGTAAATTTTTTTGGGTTCCGAGGTACGGGCCCGGGTTGGGATTTTGGCCGGTTTTGGGCTTTTAATTCAAGATTTGATCTTTTTCGATCGGGATTGGTTCCTTTAGCATTGTTTGATGTACTTGAGTTGTTTTTGGTTAGTTTCGGGCTATTCGGAGGTCGGAACGCGCAAGATGGCATCTTTGAAGCATCGTTTGGCTTGCTCGACATTGGTATTGGCTTGCTCGAGGTAAGTAACTCTTCTAATCTTGGAGCTGAGAGTATGAACCATAAATATACGTGTTATGTGTTTGGTTTTAAGGTGACGCACATGCTAGGTGACGGGTGTGTGGGCGTGCACCGTGTGAACTGTGATTTTCGCTATTTCTTTGGTATTGTGTAGTTACCTGAACTTGTCTGAAATCATGAAATCTATACATACTAGAGTTATCGAGCTGTGATTATTTTAGAAACCATGTCTAGGCTACATGCTTATCCTGTTGCGACCCACTGAGGTCATTTCTGTTGTTTAGTAATCTTCTTTTATTGCATTACATATTCAGTCATACGCATTCACATGCATATCATATCTCAGTCTTTGTTGTTATTTATTGATGCATCATATCATTATTTTTGGGTTGGTATCATGACATTGTGAGCCCGAGAGACTGGAGAGATTGATGACTGAGTGAGGTCGAGGGACTAAATGTGAGGATGATTATGGAATCGGGCTGCACGCCGCAGCGGGTCAGATTGGCTTACTTAGCGGGTTGGGTTAGGTGCTATCACGACTAGTGGATTTGGGGTCGTGACACTTTCCCTTCAAGCATGTTATATCCAGTTCCTCTCCTTTATTTCCTAATTTGGATCTTTCAGAAGCTGTTTGCTCTTCTCTCAATTGCGTCCCTACTCCTGGGAACACTACAAATGAGTCACCTTCTTCTGTTTCTAACGAGCATGTTGGACCTAGTCAACCTGTTCCTGATCATCATCTGCAGTCCAGTTCCTCCAATACTGTTGATCCACCTCCTATTAGGAAATCATCTAGGACTTCTGTTCCTCATATATGGTTGAAGGATTATGTTGTACCTTCCAAAAGAGCAACATGTAATTACTCTATTTCCAGTAAGTTTTCTATGATAAGTTGTCCCCTTCTTATCAGGCTTGTCTTGCTGCTTACTCAGCTGTGTCTGAGCCTACTTCTTATGCTAAGGCAATACTGATCCTAAGTGGATAGAAGCCATACAGGCTGAGATTGCTACTCTTGAGGAGAATTAGACCTGGTCCATTGTGGACCTGCCTCCTGGAAAGGATCCTATTAGTTGCAAGTGGGTATTCAAGGTTAAATATAAGTCTACTGGGGAGGTAGAGAGGTATAAGGCTCGACTGGTTGCTAAGGGGTATAGTCAGCTTGAAGGTTTTGGATTACAAAGAGATTTTCTCTCCTGTGGCCAAAATGGTCACAGTAAGGTCTGTAGTGGCTTTGGCTGCAGAATCTGGCTGGTTTATCTTCCAAATGGATGTGCACAATGCCTTTCTTCAAGGAGATCTCCTTGAAGAGGTCTATATGCAGATCCCAGATGGCTTTGCCAGCGAGGGGGAGTGTCATCATCAGAAGGTATGTAGACTGCATAAGTCCTTGTGACTCAATCAGGCTCCTAGACAGTGGAACCTGAAGCTGACTTCTGCTTTGAAAGATATAGGATTTGTACAGTCTCATTATGATTACTCTCTTTTCATACAAAGGGTAGATGGTGATCTCATAGTAATTCTAGTATATATTGATGATCTTCTGGTTACTGGGAATAACTTGGAGCTTATTCATCAGGTAAGGAAAAATTTGCAAGCTAAGTTCAAAATAAAGGACTTGGGAGAATTAGAATTCTTTCTGGGAATTGAGTTCTCCAGATCTAAAGAAGGAGTCCTTATGAACCAAAAGAAATATGCTCTTGAGTTAGTGTCTGAGCTGGGATTTGCTGGTGGAAAGCCTGTTACTACACCTCTTGAGTTCAATCACAAACTCACCTTAGTAGCATTTGACAAATTCATGAACAGAGGAGAAGCCGCTACAAATGCACAACTTGAGGATCCATGTAGCTATTAGAGGTTGGTAGGCAGATAGCTATACTTGACAATGACAAGGCCAGATATTGCCTTTGTTGTTCAAGTACTTAGCTAGCACATGCATGCTCCCAAGCAGTCACATATGGAAGCAGCTACACAAGTGGTCAAGTATGTCAAGGGGACTGTAGGACAGGGATTGTTTATGCCAGCAAAAGAAAATAAGAAACTAGTTGCCTACTGTGATTCAGATTGGGGCTCATGTGTGGAGACAAGGAAGTCTATCACTGGCTATATAGTTAAGTTTGGTGGAGCTTTAATCTCTTGGAAATCCAAGAAACAAAGCACAATTTCTAGGAGTTCTGCTGAATAAGACTTCAGAAGCATGGCAGCTACTGTTGCTGAAGTCACTTGGCTAGTTGGTTTGTTTGGAGAGCTAGGAGTTACAATGAACACTTATGTATAGCTGTTCTATGATAGCAAAGCTGCTATACAGATTGCAGCACACCCCATATTTCATGAGAGGACAAAACACTTTGACATTGATTGTCACTTTATAAAAGAAAAAATTCAGGGTGGTCAAATTCAGACTCAACATATTGGGACTAAGGAACAACATGCAGATATACTTACCAAGAGTCTATGCAAGCCTCAACATGAGTATTTGATTAGAAAGATGGGAGTGAAGAACTTCTTCCATCCCTCAACTTGAGGGGGAGTGTTGAGAAGTATATACATTGTAGAGTTAGTTTGACTGTTAGAAGTTAGTTAGTGGGTTAGTTGTCACGACCCA